GCTGGGCAAATTCTGGCCCCTGGGCCTTATGTTTGACACCCTGCTTTGCAGTATATCTTGGTAACCATCAAAATAAAAGCAAATGTAGAAAACACTTCAAAATAACTGTCCAAATAATTGCTTGTAGGCTGAAGATTTTCTTTTACAAGGACTTTGTACATACTCCTCCCACGGTCCTGTAGTCTTCCTGTACAGCAGTGTATCCAAGGCAACAGCATTGGCATCCATGGCATCGGGAGATGGCCACTGATTGGTCAGATGAGCCGTTAACTCTTGTCTAGATCGCAAGTCGTTGTTTTTAAGCACTGTCCTGAAAACACAAGACAAAGTAAGTAATATTTATTCTAATGTCACAATCATCTTTAAAAAACTTTAAAGTCTAAATAATTGAAATACTTTTTAAATCAATCTTGTGATACCTTTAACACCAACACTAAAAAGAACTGTAAATTAATCTTGCAGGAAACTGTACAATTTACAATTTTCACCACATCAGCCTAACATGTCAGCCTGCTTATATGTAACATAAACAAACAATAGTAAAGGAAATTAAACTCATCAATCAGTTGCCAGGATGTGGTGCGAGTGGAAAAGTCATTTTCTGGGGGCATCTGCAATCCCACAGGAAACGTTTTGACATATTTAGGCCTGGGCCACAGTACCGGCAAACTGTCTCTACTAAAACCAGTTTCTTTGGCAATGAATAAAGAATGTTAGAGACTAATCTTTATGGGTGTCCTTAAAAAATTACATGAAAATAGACAAATGGAGGACAACAGAAGAAGAATCAGGATTTTTTAAAACTAGAGAAGGAGCACTGGGAACATCTACACAATAGCTTCCAGCAGGACACTGATGTGAATGTCTCTGACCAAACAAACAGAAACAGACTTCATGGGTGTCCACTAGGGGCCCACAATATCCTCTAGAAGGCCCCATGTTCACTACCCAGCATTTAGAGCCCAATTTGCTGTCACAGATAAGAGCAGGTTCCCCCTGAGCACCAGTGACAGACATGAAAGGTTCTGGAGAAGCCATGGAGAACATTATGGTGCCTTTTACTGCCTTACTTTCAGTTAATGTATTTTGTTTTGCACTATGCATATTTTATATGCCATTAGGTCATTTATTGTGAAAATTCTCGTGTAGGAACTATTGTACTGCATGTTGGTTCCACTGGTGCACCTGAGGGAGATGCACGCCCATGGCAAGTTGAAGCAAGAGAAGCCAATTTAATTCAGAGAAAGTTGTTTCTTAAAAGTATCTGTAAAGTGCTCATTTCTGCCTCAAAGCATGGGTCAGCCAGCGAGGTACGTTTGTATGTTATATAGATCATTTTATGTCTTTATTTCACTCGTCTTACTATTTCATTGAATTTTATGTTATGTTTTAGTTTGACGGTGGCGTAGTTTGTGATCAAGGTGAAGCTGTAACAACCCCAAGACCTTACATCTAACATTAAAGCCAACTTCATGCCATCAGTAAAAGAACTCTTTATTGACTTTAAGAAGAGGAAGTGATAGTGCCTGTAACATTGTTCAGCATTGACCAGTTTGGTGGTGGGTCAGTTATGGTGTGGAGAGACATATCCATGGGTGGATGAACAGACCTCTACAGGCTAGGCAACAACACCCTAAATACCATAAGGTATCTTGAGGAAATCCTTGAAGCCATTTTCAGACCCTTCGCAGATGCAGGGGGTCTTGGGTTCCTCCTGGTGCACGACATTTCCCAGCATCATGTGGCGAGAGAATGTAAGCTGGAGTGAAAGACCCAAAGACCATGACGCTTCTCTGCTCACGCCTATTGAGCTCCACGCAATTTTGTAATTAAACTGTCATTTCTGTTTTTTCTCATTAGCTCAGCTAATCTTTCCACATACCCACAGGCTACTGCCAGAGTGCCCCGACGTGGCACTCGGTTGGGAATCACTGTCTCAGAATATTAATGGAAAGCTGATGGCGTTTGACTGAAGCAGCGCTGACTGCAATAGATTCAGCAACAAACAAACCACCTGCAACCTTCAGGCTACTTGCTGTGTCTTGAATGTCAAACTCACAGTTGGAGCAATTGCAAACCTTTCCACCCAACACCGACAAAAAAAAACACACACCAGAATGGACTCACAATTGGTCCTGTAGTTCCAATATGATATACTCAAGCTGTTCTTTCTCCAGTGTGTGGGAGAGGTGTGTGTCTGCCAGGCTCTGCTGAAGGGCTTTGCTTTGGGACACAGCTTCTGACAGCTGGGCTTCTCGTAGACGGACAAGCTCTTCCAGGTAGCCCTGAGGCAAACAAATACACATCAGGTTTATTAACTGCTGCACATGCATCTGAATGGCCTGCTTTTCACTACAAACAAGAACCCTGAAGCAGGAACAACCACAGCAAGGAGCCACAATGAAGATATAAAATAAAGCTGAATATTTGTTTGTGTGAGAAAATAAAAACAAACCCAAACTCCTAATTATCATGCAAATACCAAGGAAAATGTCACACTGGCATTTACTGCCTTCCTGCGCCGTCATTGCAAATTAACACTAGTATGAAACTCCCACTGATGCTACCTTTTGTTCCAGTGCCATGCGATACTTCTGCTCGAAGCGTTTGCACTTGCTGACCAGGTTGCTCTGCTCAGTAAAGATGGAGGCAGCCGTGGCTGTTTTGTCAGGTGTGCTGCTCTCACTGCCACTGCTCCCCAGAGTCCTCATCTCCTCCTCGTCACTACTGATGCTGTCTGCGCTGCACAGGACAAAAGTGTGTACCCGATTATTACACAGCTCGCATACAGTACCGTGCAAAAGTCTTGAGACACCTCTCATTTCTTCAGATTTTGTTATAAAAATGGGAAATGCATGCTGCCATTTATTGAAATGTACCACGCCTGCTTTGCATGATTTCATCATTTACTGTCATGTTCACACTGACCTTTATTTTCAGGTAGTAACAAGTCCCGTCACTGTCAAGAATATAATATGTTATAAATTCCTGCAAAAGCAATACAATCTAAAGCCTAATGACAAGTGAGTTTAGCAAGATTTGTCGATACTGGTGAGTAAATTGTGGTAAGACCACTTCCCTCATTATTCACCCTGCACACAAACCGTCTGTGCATTTAAACTGTTCAGGACTTCATGATACAATACAGGAAAATGTGGTACATTACTCCCGCTGCACTGTTTAGGGTTTCTCCACTAAAAAGCTTCAAGCCTTCACACCTCCTGCTTGTTGAGACGTGCTATGGTTGTGATATTCCCAAGAGCACGAATCCATCACTTCCTGTGCCCACTAGAGGGTGGTGGAAAACACTAATTATGAGAACACTGCTGTATACGGTGTTGAATCCACAATGAAAATATCATGTATTCCAGATGTTTTTTTACACGATGCTGTTACCACTCGGTGGTGCCGTGAGGGTGACTCAGTACTAGCGCACAGATGTCTCCAGGCCCAAACTCTCAGCAAGCATGACTTCAATCTAAACTAAAAACGTTTCAGCACAACTCAAGATCATTAGATTAAATTGACCAGTAGATCAGATTAAATCTCTGACAGTTGTTAAAGTACAACTGGCAAAAAAGGCACCAAAACTGAATCTTGAAACTAAAATGATTGACAAGGACATGACTTCAAGGCAGTACAAGCATTTTGGAGCTATACATCCAAAGGTAAAGCCACTAGACAAAGACTCTTGGGCCTTATGTTCAACACCACTGATCTAATTCAATCTCTAGGAAGGGTTTATTCAAGTGTGACACTAAGAAACTGCAAGAATTGTGCAAAAATCACAACTTCCTGTCTGCTTATGGTAAAAATGTTTGTACATCTTAGGACAATACAGGATACAAAGTTTCATAAATACAGGTGAAATGCAGCACCGGGGCTACTTTGCATTTTATGGCTTTTGCATGGGGAGGTGTAGCTCCACAAAGGATACGCGTGCCATGTTTCATGAAGCTCAACACCATCAGTGCTCAGACACTAATAAAATACACACTACACCAGAGACAGACCGTGTGATGTGAATTATTTGATCTCATACCTCTGAGTGAACTTCAAGTAAGGCGTGTAGTCAATCACAGCAGGGCAGCTGCCATCCAGACCCTCACCTTTCAGACAGAAGCTTGAGACAGAACAAGATGAAACATTAAAGCTGGGTCTGTCTGCGACCGTTTGAAATGCAGCACATTAATTTAGATGGCATGTTAATCAGAGCTTCAGTGTCCACCCTCATCCTTTCCTTCTTCTGACGTCTCTCAGCTTCCTGAGGATGAAGTGTTTCACAGCTCAACTTCTTTGCATCTGTCACCTGAACTGCACTCTTCAATCAGCAGGCCCTTCATCAGGAGCAGATAACAGTTTATTCTCCAAAGCAGCTCTAATTTTATCAGAAATAATGAAGCCGGATTTAAAACGTTTGGCTTATGTAACTAATTTTCCATATAATGGTTTAATTTAGTTATAATTTTAAAAGAAAAACATAAAAAAAATTTCAGAAGAAGCACTGCAAACACAAAAACATTCACAGCATGCGGTATCATGTCCCTGCAGTATTATTTACTCTAAAGTTTTGAGAGTAAATAATGAAACTCTTTCAATTACGGTAATGTGCAAAACTCTTGAGCCACCCTTATTTCTTTATATTTTTTGCTTCAAAACAAAACAGATTTTCTTGTTATTTCCAAAGTCGTCTTGAGCAGTAGTTTTTCAGGCTT